AAAGGATGCAAGAGAGCAAAATGAAGACAAAGAAAATGAATTTTCAGAATCAATCAAAATTGGAATGGGGTTGCCTTTATATAGGCTTTGTTGGCACCTATTTAATTTGAATAGAAAAGGCATGAAGAAGGGACATAACCATTCCTTTAAAATAAAGAGACACCATAAAAGGATTGCAACCTTTTATTCAAATGGAGGTTTGACCTTTCCTTTAAAACAAAAAAATACTATGAAATGTTACACCATTTCATTCAAAATAGAGTTTATTTTAATTCACAATTAACTTTTTATAAATTTTTCAACACAAGGGAGACACGATCTTGGTGAACAGTGACATTGGAGGGGAGAGAGAGATGGCAGCAGCTGTGAGGTGTTGGGTGGTTGTAGGGGTGGCTGCGGAAGCGAAGGAGTGGATCTTATTAGGGTTTTCAAGTTAGGTTTTTCAAAGGAGGAAGAACCTGAATAAAAGGGCATAAATGTCTTTGTATAATGGAAATGGACTTTGACTCATAATACTTTTCATTCTAATTCTCCGAACATGCACGTGTTAATTTTTGTCAATATTGACGGAGTTAGTAACGGTAGAGAGGCATTGTGCAAATTGGTCCAAACCACATGAGAGCTCTTTGCATATATTTAAGTGTCAGGAGGTAATGTGCTTTGGGTTAAAACCACAAGGGAGGAAAATAGATTTTGCCTGAGAAAATTTAAATAGAAAAGGAATAAAGAAAAACGATATTTATACGTAATTTCTATATAGAATTGAACAAAAATGATGTAATAATGTCATTTTTACTTTAAGTAATGAGAATTTTAACCTTCAATAAGTGGATATGCATGTGACACATCATTATATATAATTTTTTGTATACAATTTTTGTTTGTTTATCATTTCACTACAAGAATTTACACATTTGGCGACCACTTTTGCCGACCAAAAAAATTTTGGTCGCAAAAAAATGACATTTGGCGACCAAATATTAATTAGTCGCGAATGATCAATATTTTTGGCGACCAAATATGAGTTGGTCGCAGAAGGTCACATTTTGGCGACCAAAAATGAGTTAGTCGCAGAAATTGGTATGTTTTTCGCGACCAACTACAAATTTGGTCGCCAAAGGTTACATTTTGGCGACCAAAAAAATTTAGTCGCCAAATTTGTACTTTTAGCGACTAATATTTTAGTCGGCGTTGATTGAGATTTAGCGACTAAAAAAATTTGTTGCCGAAGGTACCTTTTTTGCGACTAATATGGTGTTTTGGTCGCCAAAAGTGTTTGGGAGGGAAATTTCAAACAGGGAGGGGGGAAATGAAATTTTTTGGCGACAAAAAAAATTTGGTCGCCAAAGTAAAAACGACGTCGTTTTGTACCTGGAAAAAAAAAATTTTAAAAAAAAGCCCTGATCTCCTCTTTGTCTCCAACTCTCCCTCTGTGTATGTTCATCCGCTCTCTCCCTCTCTCTATGTTCTCTCTCTCAATCGGTGCCACTCTCTCGCTCACCGAAGTCCCTCACCACCGTTGCTCACGTCCGTCGCACATCGCCACCGCCGTAAATCGCCATCGCCAACTGTCTTTCTCTCACACAGATCCTCAGACCACACTCGTCATCGCCCTCTGTTTCTCTCTCTCTCTCTATTCGGTCTCTTCTATGTGTCTCTGTCTTCTTGTCTCCCTCTGTGATTTGGGTTCAGGTGAGTGTTTGTCGCCTCTAAATCTGCAGAGGCAGAATGGTATCTGCAGAGGCAGCTCTTTGGCCCCTAAATCTCGCAAGGGCTTTCCGTCTCCCATCTCTCTGACAAAGAAAAATGAGTCGGTTGTGCAGACCCCCTTCAATCCTGCTACTCTCTCTCTATAATCTATCTATCTGTATATGTGATTGATTAGATCATATCTCTGTGTGAGTTAAATTACTCTTCCTCTGCCCTTTGTGTGCTGTGTTCATGTAATTCAGATTTAAAATCAAATTTGAAGAACTCTAATGGAAATTGTGTGTAGTGGGTATTTTGATTTGAAGCAATAGAACTCCAATTGAGTTACAAATTGAAAAGAATTCGATGGAAATTTGATATTCCCATAACTAAATTAACTAGGATGGGGCTCTTCCAAAAAAATTATCAATATAGTCTTTAGCATTTTCATTTTCTGAGGCATCCAACCACAAAAATCCCCTATTTGGGGAGCTACAGCCTATATGGATCTGTTTAAATCAATTTATTCAATACTTCTCTGATGGCCAATGGTTTCTGATATATTTCTTCTTCCGGTTTCCTGATATATTTCCAATTTTGCATATAAAAAGTGAGGGTTCAATGTGAACTATGCAAAGACTTTGAAATGTAGCATTTTATGTGACTGCAGATTTTAATGCAACATGTTTAGATTTTCTGATCAACTGCAGTGCCAACGAAATTTTCTGGTCCAGTGAAATAGTAGAATCTGTGAGAGAAGAATCATTTGAGTTTTGTGACAAAGATAAAGATAGTGAAGAAAGGGATAGAGTCGAAATGCTCTTGTGGAGGCTAATCGGGTAAACTTTCTTTAGGTGTTTGGATAATAATCCATTGTTTGTCTTTTCTTTTTCTCTAGGACTTCTGTTCTTCTCAAGAACATGTCTTCTTACATTTTCTTTCGACAGTCTTGAGAAGGAAAAGAAAATAAAGTCCTCTTCTTTGCCTCAATTGAGTAGAAGTGAAGTTGGTTTGAAATTTATAAAGGATTTGTTTTTCAATTTGGTTGGTGAAATGTGAATTTTCACTACAGAGAACTCTTTCTCCTTGGGTTTTAAGCGAAACCGATAAGAAGTAGATTGGATTTCAATATATGTGTATATATACACATACACATATTCTGAAAACGATACTTGGGAATATGTAGGTGATTGAATTAGACTTCCTATAGCTAAAAAAAATTTGTAAAGCAACAAAAATGATTTTGACATAAGCTTAGATTACAGAGATTGCACAAAGGTTTTGTTTGGAATTAATGTTGCATGGCATTAATTAATGGTCAAGTAGTAGTTAGGCTAAGTGATTTAATAGGAATCAGATGAGATATCTGGATCAAAAAAATTTAAAAAAAAAGGAAAGAATCTAGTTGGAGGATGAAAACAAGTTGACTTAATCAAATTATTTATCCTAAACTGAAGATTAGGACAATATGGCTAGAAAGTGGGTCTTATCATCTAAATAATTTATTTATCTATTTATCACTAATCTTTTCTATAGAACAGATGAAATGGAGTCTATTTTTTTTTTTGGTTACAGAAAGTGTGATTTACTTTTTTTAGGAGAAATTACAATAAAAAAAAAGTCAAGTTACTGAAAAGTGGGTGAATTTCCAGTTGACTAATATATTTCCAGTTTGTTTCCAGTTGTCATACTGAAATTCACATGATAGCTTATATTGGAGTTGCTCATTATTATTTTTATGTGCAAAATTGGGTGAATTTTATACCCATATTACAGTGTGAAACTTGTAATAATGGAGGTTGTAGGCAATCAGACTTTAGTGCTGATCTGTGAACGAATCTTTCAACTTCCTTTGTTGATTGCATATATTTTCTCTCTTTTATGATGAGTTCAACTTCATCCAAATACACATTGTTGCTCTCTCTCTCTCTCATAAAGAATTGAAGTTGTTACTAGAGGAAAAGAGCATAAAGAAGAAGACTTCTTAAAGGGTTACCTGTTTTATTGATGGTGTGGGTTCAGATAGACATAACATAAGAAATCCCATTTTGTTTTAAGGTAAAAAAAAGATGGAAAAAGATATCAAATTTTATTACCATAGATAGATTATTGAATACTATGAATTTATTACGTTAAGTAATGAATAAACTTTGGGTATGTAGGAGCGCGAAAGCTCTGTCGCAAGAAGAAAAATTGAGAGTGGATTTATTATCTATTTATGTATGGAAAATATATTTTTTTAAGTTAAAATTCTTCCTAAAAATTCAAAGAATAGTTTGTGCAAATATGTGCAATGATAATTTTTGTTGCTGATTAAAAAAAAAAGAGTGCAATACAAATTATTCTTTGTCTATTGGTGAATTCAGTGATTTGCTTTATTGTCCAGTTTTTCTTCAACTCTACCACACTATCTAAGCTTGACAACACGTAAAAATTCACATACGATCTCTTAATGAACATGAATCCTAGTTTGGTTCCACCATACTATATAAGGAACTTCATATGTAACATAATTTGTTAGATATGGCTTTCTTTTAATCATTTGGATGTATCCATGTAGCACAGAAACATGTTGAAAGGGTATGATAAGGAACTTCTACTTTGAACATCACTAATAATATTTTAGTATAAAACATATCCTTACCCATCTTTGTTTTTTTTTATCTGACACAGAATTTCACACTATGAAGTGTTTATGTAACAGAGATTTACACCATATATCAACATGTTTTAATTATTTGGGTTATTTACATCATAATGATAATGATTTTAAGTTGTTTATTTTTTGTCTTAACTCTGCTGGACAGGCCTTAACCCAACTATTGTCCTTAATGAATTGCCAACTTTGTTCTTCAGGAAATGAAAGATTTGAAAGAATCAGTTTCGAAATCTTATCTGAATCAACTTGAAGAGTTGCAAAATTCATTGGAGATCACACAGAAGGAGTTGGTAGAGGCTCAGAGAGTGTCAGCTGAGCAAAAGCACGGTATGGTGGACCTTAATGAAAGACTTAGTGCATCACTACAGTCATGCACTGAGGCAAATGAATTAATAAACAGATTAGTTGCATCTTCTTTTCCCTTAGGGATCAAATAATAGCCATTGGACACTTATGGCACGAATTTGATTCGTTTAATTTTTGTATACACTCAATTTCTTCCAGATTCTGTGAGATTTAGTCACATAGATGTATGCTTGTTTTAGTAGTTCTAGCTTTTGATCCTTACACTCATAATCTTCACTCATAGAACAAGAAGTTTATGGCATAGATCCTTACACTCATAATCTTCTACTCGATTCTGTGCTGGAGG